TCAGCTTAAATAACCAAACATGCTCAAAGAATAAAAAGAACTAGAGCTGAAAATGTTAGGAAGAAGAATTAAATGAAAGAACTGACCAACAATATCATCATCATAAGGAAATTTTCCTTTAACAAGTGCTTCTACAAACAAGACGACAAGCTCAGCCCCACATGTAAGCTGAAAATGAGTGTTAATGTTAAAAGTCAATGCTTTGAAGAAGGAACCGAAGTTAATCAAAATCTCTGAAAAATCCTTTTTCTCAACAAATTAAAGTCATGATGCTTCAAAGTTAGCCAAGAAAGAATAAATTAAACCCCCATTTGTTTCTCATTTTTGGAAGAATGAGAATGAAAAATATAGCCGTTATGGGTCTCACACAAGAGATAAAAATTCAAATTTGGTGGTTTGATGTGATTGATAATGATCATATTTTTCATTTTAATGAGAAAAGAATGGGAACCAAACAGGGGCTAATATGTCTCTACCTCTCATAGCTCCATGCTAGAAGCATATATAGCCAAACGTCAGTATCAATATCTGCAGTAAATTCAGTATTACTATTAAAAATTATATCTTTGGCAAAAATTTCCTGGGTGATTTATCATAATGCATAGGTTTGTCAATTGGTTGTAAGTTATAACCTAGACTCCATTGTCATTGTTTTGCAGAAAAAGGTTAGCCTGTCCATTTTCTAATTGCACGCAAGCACCGGATTGCAGAATATTCAAGGCATCCAAATACCTCTTGGCCGCAATATATCTGTCCTTGATAAAGAAAGAATTACCTAAAAATGGAAAGAAACCAAAATTGACAGTATTAATTATATTCAAACTAAGAAGGAATATATTTATTGTATGTACCTCACACTAAAGGACTTGTACATCTGTTGAGCCCCATAGTGATTGCCTTCATCTACGGCTTTCTTGATATTCTCAATGTTCTGCAATTAACATTGAAGGAATCTCAGAAAAGGAGGAATGCAATCTCACATTTCCAAATTCAAATTGATTAACAGAAACAGCAAAATGAATCGGGGAATTTGATAAAAAAACAAAACAAAAATTAATAACCAGGTAATTGACAACAAAAGTATAAATGTAATTATGAAAAAAATGGGAACCATAGTTAGAACGATACCTCTTTAGCCGAAGACAATAAGACTCTTTTAGCTCTCTCCCGGAACATAGCTCTTTGTCAATAAATGAAAATATATCTAAATAAACAAACAGAAATCTCACTGAATGTTCAGCATAGATCGGCAACGGGAGAACAAAACTATAAAATGTAACGACGTCTATTTTCGATGTATTTTTTCCAAATGGGTTACGTTTTATTCAAAATGACCTTCTTGTGAGGCCCAAAGTGCAAAAGAGCCCTAGCTTTGCATTTCAAGTTTTATAAGGGAAAAATCATGTCTCGGCCATTAGGTATGTTTGCATCAACTCAATTTCCAGAGACCATGTTTCAAATGTAAGAGTCAGGTTAAATAATAATATTATTGACTTAAATTGATCTGCCCACACCAACCTTAACTGTCCCCCGTCCCTCGTTGATATCCCCGACCTTTACCCTATCGGCGACTTCTTTAGTAGAGAATTGATCGTCACTCAGTGACGATTGAGTTTGTCGACGTTTGGGATTGAACAGAGCTAGTATAATTTAAATCACTTTTTTAAAATTGAAAATTAAAAAACTTCTGCTGTAATGTATAGAGTACTTATCGGAGCAAATAATTTGAATTCTCATCGTCAAAAATTTAATGGATTGAATTTGTGATCAGTTCGAATAACTAAGTTTGGAGAAATTAATGGCATGTGTCCATATTTCTTGAATTTGTGACATGTGTCCTATGCACTTTAATATATGACCTATGACTTGATTCAATAACCCGTGGTCAAATCTATTGGATTTGTTAAATGTGATCTGAGCCAATGGTCTGCGACTAAATCTTTTGAATCTGTGACATATGACCTATGCACTAGACACGTGACCTACAACCTAATTCAATGGCATGTAAACAAATCTCTTGGGTATGCGATCAAATCTCTTGAATTCATGACTTGAGACCTATGCACTTTGACATGTATCCTGTTACACGTGACCTTGACTTGATCCACTGGTAGGTAAACAAATCTCATTGATGCATAACTTGATCTAATGGTCTGTGATCTAATCTCTTAAATTTGTGACTTATGACTAGTGCACTTTTATATGTGATACCTGCACTTTGATAGGTCACATATTTAAGATATCAATCCCGTCACATGGCCAGGGAGTTGGTGACGAACTATGGCGAGGCTGACGTGACCATTGGATGGGGAAAAAAAGAAGAATTAAAAAAGAAGAACGGGTTAAGGCAACTGGTTCAACCTTTAGTGTCTCTTATATTCCCCTACGAAGATAGAGAGAGAAAATACCCAAATCAAATTTGAAACCCTTTGTCCTCCAATCAAGGCGATCCCCGTTGTAAGAGTCACCATCTCTGGCGACCGTCTGAAATCTCAAGCATTCTTCGACATCGCGCCCCTCGACTGTGGTACCCAGCGAATCACGATGGGAATCCGTAGAGGCTCTGATTTGTCGGAGTAGTCACCGTGTTTTTCACTTCCAGCACCCAACAAAATCAACACCGAGCTCATCTTTTGATCTGCCATCATTTCATCGTTGTGCTCAGGTTTGAGCATTCAAGTTTTTGTTGATTTTGTAGTCTAAGTTTCCGTCAAGACTGCCCTTCGTTTTTGGTTTTGAAGTATTTGCTGGATTTTGTTGGTGCTCTTGTTTTAGCGTTTTTGCTTCCAATTATGTGTGTAAGTTCTTAGTTGGATTAAAAAAAAAAAAAAGGAATAAAGTTATCTCAGCTCTTTTCTTTCTTCACAGCAATTGGGCCTTTTGAGTTATGAGCATTTGAGTTCCCAATTTCATTTCTATAAAAGCACAGATTTTTTCTATTATTTTCTATTCTTTTTGGAAGGGAAGTAAGAACACTCGAAAGGGAAAAATCACAAGGTGCAAGTTTAGAGATCAGCATGTTTCAATTGCCTGCTAATTAGCACAGTACAACTTGTTCACTCACCATTGGTCTAGTTCTTACCAGATGTAGAACTTGAATTGTCTGGTGTTGGTGGAGATTTATGGGCTTCAATGAACTTACTAAAAAAAAAAACTTCAAGAAGTTCCTTAGTGGTTAATGAAAATTGAGAATTGATTTACAGTTTACATCACGAACTCTCTAATCCACTTTGCTTCTTATGAATGGGTTGACTAATTGTGTACTATGTTACTTCAATATGAGATAGACACACCACTTTATGGCTGTATTGCAAATGTGATTCTAGTAGTTGAAACAATTAGAATTTGTTAACTTGTCTGGGAAACGTCAAGTTTCATCTCATCCATTCGGTTATGAATCCCCAACTTATTTTGGATCAAAATAGATGGAATGTTGTTTTATCAAGGCCTTACTTGTTTCTTCAATATAAAGGTTATTCACTGTCTTAGATATGCTTCAATCTCAATTTGTTTGTTGTGCAGAATGGTTGGAAGGAACTTCGGGATCTGTCATAAATGCAGAGCGAAGACCCACTTCTTTGATGACTGCCTAAAGAAACGGCCATGCACATCGTGCAAACGTGGATTTGAGAAATGTTTCATTGTGGAGGAAAAGGGTGCGAATAAAGGAAAATTATTTCTTCGTTGTAGTTACAATTTTGGTTTTTGGAGTTAGGTTGTAACAGACGAATCAGGCGGTGCATCTAGCAGCGATGGCGCTTGCGTCGTTAACCCCACAAAGAACGAAATAGGAGATGAAATGTCCCACATGTTTGAATCTCAAGTCCGTCTGACTGACGAAGAAGAGCTCAAGATTTTGGTGGATGTCACAATTCGAATGGAGAAAGTAAGTGCATTAGTGAATGCAAAAGGAAAGCGGCTAACTTGATTAGTAGATGTTGATTGAATATTTTCTTTACGTTAGTTATTTGGCAAACTTTAGTTATGTAACTCGACCCTATGTTTGTGTATTGGAACTTTTGTCGTGTTGTATTTTGAACATTTATGGTTGAACGGATGTTAATGACACATTGTACATGGAAGTTCAGCTTATGTTGGATAATTTTTAACGGCCAAAACTCCCTACCCAAGGGAATTGTTTCCAAATAAAGACTGCTCAATCCGTTATTTATGAATATTTATGTGTGATCTATTGAGTATGCACCACAATGTGTGGTTTTTGTAGACATATATTACATTCAATAAATTGTGTAAATCAACTAGACCATGTTCAATTACAGCCTGGTAATTGAACTAAAAAAATATAGAACCTGTCTTTAAAAAAAATCAACTATACATATATTACATCCAAAAAAATATAGAACCTGTCTTCTTGTTTTCCATCTCCCGAAACACATTAGAAGCAAGCATCGAAGTTGATTATCAATAAGACATGCTGCTATTGAACTAATGGTAAGATACATTAATACTAAAGTAAATGAAAACTGAAAACTCCTAACTATATGTTGCAAGCCATAAAGTATGCATTTGTCAACAGCTTGCTTCATTGAAAGAGGTTCCAAATCATTTGACAAAAGCTTGCTCCATCGAACAAAAAACTATGAGACCATCATATTGGCATATTGCATACCATCATAAATTTAATGGCAGCATCAAAAACTCCTTTCACATTCTGCATAAACAAAGTAGTTAAGTAAGAATCCACCACACAAGGGGTATTAAAAAGACGATAAATATTCTCAAGTAGTATCTTCAAATTGGGTTTGAAAAGAAGGATGAAAGCAACTAATTTACTTGTTTGATGATGGTGTGTTGGTGGAATATTGTGAAAGGGGGGAACAGTGACAGCGTGGGTTGTTGTGACTGAGTCGGGTTAATTGCATTACTCTACCTCGATCTCTTCCCTAATGTTGACGTTGAAGCGTTCTACATATGTATCGAAATTATAAATACAATCACGCATGTCCATTAACTACTCGAGAAAATTTTACGCAAACACCAATAGAAAAATAAGGCGAGAAAAGAGAGAAATTGGAAAAGAATATCTCACTTAATAGCAGTCTTCAAAAAAGACGAACAACTCTCTACACGTGTTGTTGCAGCTCCAAAAGCTTCTTGGAGTTGTTGCATGTCATCATCATCAGCCGTATCCAAATGTTGTGGTACTAGTACGCGAGGAAATTTTTTATAGATTTTCATGATACGATCTGCATTTGGAACTTCTTAGTATTATGAATTAATAAATCAATGTTTGTAATTTAATTTCTATTGGCATTTGCAAATAATGAAGGTTTATGTACATCTGCTCAAACTAAAACTATGTGAGCCATTACTTTTGAGAAATCAATCCAAAATAACTAATTATTGTAGAAGGACAAACAGAAAGAGGTCAAGAAACCTATATAACAAGAATTGTGTCAAAGATCAGATAAGTTAGGGTCGAACAAAACTCCCAAATCGAATTGAGCGGTTCAATTCGATTCGATTCAGTTCTTAAGTAAAATACATAAAAGAGTATCAAAATCGAGAACCGATGTGTTTGGTTTGATTTTCGGTTCTAGACCAAGAACCAAATAATCAAATCTTCCCAAATTTTTAAAGTTCTTTTTTTTTTTATATTAATTAAGTCAAATTATTATTATTATTTTGTTGGACAAGTTTTTATTTATTTATGTTTGTTAATTGTGTTTTTTTAATTATTTCTTGTAGAGTTTTTTCGTGTGACAAGTCAAACAATTGATGATTAACTTAAATGGTTGGTAACTACTATTAATACTTAAAAATATTTTATTTCTGTAACTTCTAATTTATATTTCATTTTTTATGTAGATTTCAAGGCATGAAACAAAGGAATCAATGATATAAAATCACCGATATTTTAGTATTATTATTTAAGTTTTGGAAATTTGTATATATTGGTGAATGAATCTTATTAGACAACTTGTTATTTGTATGATTTCAAATTAAAATATGTTATTTATAAAACTTAAGATGGAACCTGTCATTAGTTCTATTCATATAGTGTTGTTGTAAATGTAATAAAGAAAAAAAATTATAGTATGGAACCGAACCGAAAAAAATCGAACTCAATGATTCTACTTACTAAATACCCAAAAATTTCAGGCTCCACTTTAGAACCAAATCGAATCGGACCATGTCCAACCCTAAGATCAGGTCTCAAAGAAGCCAAACAATGGAAGTAATAAAGTATAGTTAGTATTAGGTTCGGACTCACAATGGACTCTTTTCTTCATAACCAATTCACCCGTGACCTGTCTTCATTTTTTACATTTTAACATGATTTAGACCAAAGATTTTTGCCAAATGCAAAAAGAAGATTGTCCTAGAAAAATACAGATATGTCTGAACATATAATCATATTGGTATTGCATTATTTTCCAATTTCAACCATAGTGCATTTCAAACCACGAGTTAGTCATGATAACAAGGTTGATATACTGAATTGTCAAGGGTCATAAATGTTCCTATTGATATGCAATCATCTAACCACATGATAGTACATTTTAACTTCAAATGCCAGTTCCATTATATTAAGATTTAGCATCGATCATAAGTTCAAATTACATCATTAGTATCCTAAACCTTATCATCAAAACAAGTTAGGGATACGCTTGCTTGATCTACAAGTACAGTTGTAAACTATGATGCTCAGACCCTTCTAATTGGCTGGAATACCTGTGTCGACATGACACGGGTATGAAATACTGGGCGGACACGGCAAATTTCAAACTGTTGGAATTTGCTGCTTCCATTGTTGCAGAAAGCCAGAAGGTCACGTACTGGTTTAGGGAAGAAAGAGGTTTGCTGTTGTAGTTGGATTGGGCCATTTTTGTTTTAATTTTTGGGCCTTTTTTTTTTTTTTTTTATTTTTTTTTTTTTTTTTTTCTTTTTGGTTTTAGGTTTTTTTTTTTTTTTTTTTTTTTTTTTTTTTTTTTTTTTTTTTTTTTTTTTTTTTTTTTTTTTTTTTTTTTTTTTTTTTTTTTTTAAAAAAATCATGGTAAATGGTGTTACAAAACTTTAAAAAAAATTAAAATGTGATTTTTCTTTGGCCAAAATGATTGAAAATTAATTATAAAATCAACATAAATAAATATTTTTTAAACAATTTAATAGCATCTTCTAAAATTAATATTTTTTTCAAAACTTGACAAGATAGAAGTATCAAATAATAGTTGATTAATCAAACGTCACTAATTGATTCATCATCTATCTGAAACTCAATTAACTTATCATGCATCTAAAATAATAGTTGATCTTATACTATTTGCTTATTAAATATTTTTTTCAAAGCTTGACAAAATAGAAGTAATCAAATAATATTTTTGATTATAAATTTGTAGTAGATTTTTGAGTGACATGTTTATCTTTTAACAATTTGCAACTAATTATTATTAAACTTTTTACACGCAATTTTTTTGGCCAAAAAAAAAAAAATGAAAGTTCAAAGATATATCCCCGAACTCGTGTCCAAAATTTCGACTCTTTTTAACTATGTCCTCATCTCCTACATTTTACAAAGTAAAAGATCCGACACCTTAGATACGTACTCGATACCCATACCCAAGTCCGAGCATTATAGGTTGTAAAAATTCACAAGAACTACTTGGAGATAATAATTATTATTAATTATATCTAATCATGTTAAACAAGCGGTAATGCCAAGTCAAAAAACTAAAATAGGACCCCCTTCATAAACTTACAACAAATCCTCACCAAGAAAAGTGTATAAGCTCAAAACAAACTCCTATACTATAGAACTAAATGCAATAATTCAAAAGCAAGCACTAGGGAACGTAAAAGCACTAGATAGAACTTCGGGCTATGATCAACTAAGAAGTTGCACATTTCTTTCTGGTAAAGATCGATTATGAAGACCAGTTAACATACAATAAAGGTATAAGTTTGAAATACATCCAGTCAAAGTGAAGAGATCATCGTAGAAACTACAGTAGTAACACGAGATTTAATGAATGTAATACGTATACCATTGCGTACAAGATGAATTTTGTTTATATAACTGAAAATGATGTAGATGGAATTGGAAGTTTCAGTTTCAAATCCCTCATAGTGCAAATCCATATTCTGGTATAGGTCACATCTCCTACCACCATCATGCTTCTCTGTGTGGCATAGATCTAAACTGCCAAGACCTATATGCAAGCTTTTGTTCTCTCAAGTTCTCGAAGCTATAGATCTCAATTGTAAGTTTTGATTTCATTATCACGTGGAGGTGGGTTTGCCACGGCACCTGCAGTCTTGGGTTTTCCTTTTCTTTTTTTCCTTTCAATTATTTATACTATCCATTTTCTTTTTTCTTAAATTTTCTTCTCAAAGATGAAAATTGTAATCTGGAAAACAATGTAAACAGTGGCTAGTTTGACAAAAACTTAATATCATACCATTTAGCAAAGTGGCCGATCAAAAGTGTCCAAAATTGACAATTACTCTTCAAACGGTAACTTCAGTACAAATTCGTAAGAGTAATATCCTCCTTGAAACTAATAATTAGGGTAAAAGAAATTCAAAATCCATTTCCAATTTTTCACACAATCTTTGTAAGTTTTAGCAAGTGTTCAATGAAATGTCCATCACATTTGATTTAGATTTTTGAGGCATTAGCTATAACAATCAACATTTGCTTGATGTTAGCAAAATATGTTCTATTTGACTGATTTTTATACCTCGTGTCTTTGGTATTTGCAAATAACTGCAAAAAATTTAGTAGAAAAGAAGATTATGGAAAGTGAGATCTTGACTGAATTGGCCATCTAAGTTTCCTATTTGGTTTGCATTTTCTTTGGTTTAATAAAAGTTAAAGCCTAAGATATATATGAACAAGTAGAGGTAAGAAGAGATGAATTGCACATTTGCAATACGTCTTGCATAGGCCTACGGAGTCCGTTAATCAAAATGGATAAAACAGTTCATATGAGGGAGAGACCGTATCAAAACTAACACGGTTTGAGAAAATTTAATTTTACTGAATATTTTGGTGATATAGATCTGAATCAAGTAGAGTACTAGCCAGCCTCGATTTTTGGAAACTTGTTCTATTTATCAAAAGAATAAAGAGCCAATGTCAAGAGTGTCTTTTACTTTCAACCAACTTGAGAGAATTTTCAAGTCTCCTTCCAAACTAACACTAATATTTTTTTTAGAAAGGAAATTTGGTTTTAGAAATAGTAGAGAATATAAAAGTAGTTTTTCCGAAAGGATAGAATAATACTTGTTTAATTCTTAGCCCTCAATAGGAAGAAGAGTGTTCTTAAGGTAAAATTTTCCCTCATGACTCTAAGGGGTAGCTCAGTGGTCAAGCCTTGGATTTGCTCCTCAATGGTCATCAGTTCAAGTCTCTTCAGACCCACTGAGGTGAGTACCCGACTCTAAATTTCAGGGTCCCGTGGAATTAGTTGAGGTGCCCGTAAGCTGATCCGGACACACACGATCATTAAAAAAAAATTCCCTCATGAGAGAAAACTCAATGAAATAGTTTTGCACCGAACATGACCAAAATGTGAGATTGAGAACAACGTTAATGAAAGTGAAGCATAGAGTGGATTCTACAATCATCTTCAATGATGCGCAACTTCTAGCATCGTTCTAAGAGGGTTAAATATACCATCACACAAAAAAATGAATATGCATATCTGGGCAAAGTCAAAGCATATGCATCGCATATCTTAGTTAGAAAGTACTTTTTGGTAGTGCTCATAAGTCATAGATTCTTACGAAAAGCGTGGGTAGTAAGTGATTGTAAGTTGTGGATCCTAAAAGTGTATGGATAAAACATATGTTTCATCAGCTTAAATAACCAAACATGCTCAAAGAATAAAAAGAACTAGAGCTGAAAATGTTAGGAAGAAGAATTAAATGAAAGAACTGACCAACAATATCATCATCATAAGGAAATTTTCCTTTAACAAGTGCTTCTACAAACAAGACGACAAGCTCAGCCCCACATGTAAGCTGAAAATGAGTGTTAATGTTAAAAGTCAATGCTTTGAAGAAGGAACCGAAGTTAATCAAAATCTCTGAAAAATCCTTTTTCTCAACAAATTAAAGTCATGATGCTTCAAAGTTAGCCAAGAAAGAATAAATTAAACCCCCATTTGTTTCTCATTTTTGGAAGAATGAGAATGAAAAATATAGCCGTTATGGGTCTCACACAAGAGATAAAAATTCAAATTTGGTGGTTTGATGTGATTGATAATGATCATATTTTTCATTTTAATGAGAAAAGAATGGGAACCAAACAGGGGCTAATATGTCTCTACCTCTCATAGCTCCATGCTAGAAGCATATATAGCCAAACGTCAGTATCAATATCTGCAGTAAATTCAGTATTACTATTAAAAATTATATCTTTGGCAAAAATTTCCTGGGTGATTTATCATAATGCATAGGTTTGTCAATTGGTTGTAAGTTATAACCTAGACTCCATTGTCATTGTTTTGCAGAAAAAGGTTAGCCTGTCCATTTTCTAATTGCACGCAAGCACCGGATTGCAGAATATTCAAGGCATCCAAATACCTCTTGGCCGCAATATATCTGTCCTTGATAAAGAAAGAATTACCTAAAAATGGAAAGAAACCAAAATTGACAGTATTAATTATATTCAAACTAAGAAGGAATATATTTATTGTATGTACCTCACACTAAAGGACTTGTACATCTGTTGAGCCCCATAGTGATTGCCTTCATCTACGGCTTTCTTGATATTCTCAATGTTCTGCAATTAACATTGAAGGAATCTCAGAAAAGGAGGAATGCAATCTCACATTTCCAAATTCAAATTGATTAACAGAAACAGCAAAATGAATCGGGGAATTTGATAAAAAAACAAAACAAAAATTAATAACCAGGTAATTGACAACAAAAGTATAAATGTAATTATGAAAAAAATGGGAACCATAGTTAGAACGATACCTCTTTAGCCGAAGACAATAAGACTCTTTTAGCTCTCTCCCGGAACATAGCTCTTTGTCAATAAATGAAAATATATCTAAATAAACAAACAGAAATCTCACTGAATGTTCAGCATAGATCGGCAACGGGAGAACAAAACTATAAAATGTAACGACGTCTATTTTCGATGTATTTTTTCCAAATGGGTTACGTTTTATTCAAAATGACCTTCTTGTGAGGCCCAAAGTGCAAAAGAGCCCTAGCTTTGCATTTCAAGTTTTATAAGGGAAAAATCATGTCTCGGCCATTAGGTATGTTTGCATCAACTCAATTTCCAGAGACCATGTTTCAAATGTAAGAGTCAGGTTAAATAATAATATTATTGACTTAAATTGATCTGCCCACACCAACCTTAACTGTCCCCCGTCCCTCGTTGATATCCCCGACCTTTACCCTATCGGCGACTTCTTTAGTAGAGAATTGATCGTCACTCAGTGACGATTGAGTTTGTCGACGTTTGGGATTGAACAGAGCTAGTATAATTTAAATCACTTTTTTAAAATTGAAAATTAAAAAACTTCTGCTGTAATGTATAGAGTACTTATCGGAGCAAATAATTTGAATTCTCATCGTCAAAAATTTAATGCATTGAATTTGTGATCAGTTCGAATAACTAAGTTTGGAGAAATTAATGGCATGTGTCCATATTTCTTGAATTTGTGACATGTGTCCTATGCACTTTAATATATGACCTATGACTTGATTCAGTAACCCGTGGTCAAATCTATTGGATTTGTTAAATGTGATCTGAGCCAATGGTCTGCGACTAAATCTTTTGAATCTGTGACATATGACCTATGCACTAGACACGTGACCTACAACCTAATTCAATGGCATGTAAACAAATCTCTTGGGTATGCGATCAAATCTCTTGAATTCATCACCTGAGACCTATGCACTTTGACATGTATCCTGTTACACGTGACCTTGACTTGATCCACTGGTAGGTAAACAAATCTCATTGATGCATAACTTGATCTAATGGTCTGTGATCTAATCTCTTAAATTTGTGACTTATGACTAGTGCACTTTTATATGTGATACCTGCACTTTGATAGGTCACATATTTAAGATATCAATCCCGTCACATGGCCAGGGAGTTGGTGACGAACTATGGCGAGGCTGACGTGACCATTGGATGGGGAAAAAAAGAAGAATTAAAAAAGAAGAACGGGTTAAGGCAACTGGTTCAACCTTTAGTGTCTCTTATATTCCCCTACGAAGATAGAGAGAGAAAATACCCAAATCAAATTTGAAACCCTTTGTCCTCCAATCAAGGCGATCCCCGTTGTAAGAGTCACCATCTCTGGCGACCGTCTGAAATCTCAAGCATTCTTCGACATCGCGCCCCTCGACTGTGGTACCCAGCGAATCACGATGGGAATCCGTAGAGGCTCTGATTTGTCGGAGTAGTCACCGTGTTTTTCACTTCTAGCACCCAACAAAATCAACACCGAGCTCATCTTTTGATCTGCCATCATTTCATCGTTGTGCTCAGGTTTGAGCATTCAAGTTTTTGTTGATTTTGTAGTCTAAGTTTCCGTCAAGACTGCCCTTCGTTTTTGGTTTTGAAGTATTTGCTGGATTTTGTTGGTGCTCTTGTTTTAGCGTTTTTGCTTCCAATTATGTGTGTAAGTTCTTAGTTGGATTAAAAAAAAAAAAAAGGAATAAAGTTATCTCAGCTCTTTTCTTTCTTCACAGCAATTGGGCCTTTTGAGTTATGAGCATTTGAGTTCCCAATTTCATTTCTATAAAAGCACAGATTTTTTCTATTATTTTCTATTCTTTTTGGAAGGGAAGTAAGAACACTCGAAAGGGAAAAATCACAAGGTGCAAGTTTAGAGATCAGCATGTTTCAATTGCCTGCTAATTAGCACAGTACAACTTGTTCACTCACCATTGGTCTAGTTCTTACCAGATGTAGAACTTGAATTGTCTGGTGTTGGTGGAGATTTATGGGCTTCAATGAACTTACTAAAAAAAAAAACTTCAAGAAGTTCCTTAGTGGTTAATGAAAATTGAGAATTGATTTACAGTTTACATCACGAACTCTCTAATCCACTTTGCTTCTTATGAATGGGTTGACTAATTGTGTACTATGTTACTTCAATATGAGATAGACACACCACTTTATGGCTGTATTGCAAATGTGATTCTAGTAGTTGAAACAATTAGAATTTGTTAACTTGTCTGGGAAACGTCAAGTTTCATCTCATCCATTCGGTTATGAATCCCCAACTTATTTTGGATCAAAATAGATGGAATGTTGTTTTATCAAGGCCTTACTTGTTTCTTCAATATAAAGGTTATTCACTGTCTTAGATATGCTTCAATCTCAATTTGTTTGTTGTGCAGAATGGTTGGAAGGAACTTCGGGATCTGTCATAAATGCAGAGCGAAGACCCACTTCTTTGATGACTGCCTAAAGAAACGGCCATGCACATCGTGCAAACGTGGATTTGAGAAATGTTTCATTGTGGAGGAAAAGGGTGCGAATAAAGGAAAATTATTTCTTCGTTGTAGTTACAATTTTGGTTTTTGGAGTTAGGTTGTAACAGACGAATCAGGCGGTGCATCTAGCAGCGATGGCGCTTGCGTCGTTAACCCCACAAAGAACGAAATAGGAGATGAAATGTCCCACATGTTTGAATCTCAAGTCCGTCTGACTGACGAAGAAGAGCTCAAGATTTTGGTGGATGTCACAATTCGAATGGAGAAAGTAAGTGCATTAGTGAATGCAAAAGGAAAGCGGCTAACTTGATTAGTAGATGTTGATTGAATATTTTCTTTACATTAGTTATTTGGCAAACTTTAGTTATGTAACTCGACCCTATGTTTGTGTATTGGAACTTTTGTCGTGTTGTATTTTGAACATTTATGGTTGAACGGATGTTAATGACACATTGTACATGGAAGTTCAGCTTATGTTGGATAATTTTTAACGGCCAAAACTCCCTACCCAAGGGAATTGTTTCCAAATAAAGACTGCTCAATCCGTTATTTATGAATATTTATGTGTGATCTATTGAGTATGCACCACAATGTGTGGTTTTTGTAGACATATATTACATTCAATAAATTGTGTAAATCAACTAGACCATGTTCAATTACAGCCTGGTAATTGAACTAAAAAAATATAGAACCTGTCTTTAAAAAAAATCAACTATACATATATTACATCCAAAAAAATATAGAACCTGTCTTCTTGTTTTCCATCTCCCGAAACACATTAGAAGCAAGCATCGAAGTTGATTATCAATAAGACATGCTGCTATTGAACTAATGGTAAGATACATTAATACTAAAGTAAATGAAAACTGAAAACTCCTAACTATATGTTGCAAGCCATAAAGTATGCATTTGTCAACAGCTTGCTTCATTGAAAGAGGTTCCAAATCATTTGACAAAAGCTTGCTCCATCGAACAAAAAACTATGAGACCATCATATTGGCATATTGCATACCATCATAAATTTAATGGCAGCATCAAAAACTCCTTTCACATTCTGCATAAACAAAGTAGTTAAGTAAGAATCCACCACACAAGGGGTATTAAAAAGACGATAAATATTCTCAAGTAGTATCTTCAAATTGGGTTTGAAAAGAAGGATGAAAGCAACTAATTTACTTGTTTGATGATGGTGTGTTGGTGGAATATTGTGAAAGGGGGGAACAGTGACAGCGTGGGTTGTTGTGACTGAGTCGGGTTAATTGCATTACTCTACCTCGATCTCTTCCCTAATGTTGACGTTGAAGCGTTCTACATATGTATCGAAATTATTAATACTAAATGTACTTCAAATCCAATATGGAGTAATGCATATCGCTAAAACTACCTACGATTTCTTAGAAGTGGACTCCAACAGGCTCTTGCGCTAGAGTTTCTTTAGTATGCCCTTTCTGCATACCGACTTCGGATCCAGTGTGCTCTTGCTCAATGTATTATGCGAATTAATACAATTATTGGGGACTTGAGAAGCATGTGTAAACAGATATTAATTTCATGATTGGACTTTGCGCTTATAAGTAGACTACCTTTATTTTTAATCCAATCCATTATTGCCTGTGACCACCGTTCATCATTTGCAGACTGCAGCAAGGTCTATCACTTGTGCAAAAGCTTGCCACATAGCATCGTGTCTCAATTGTAAAGGAGTAGTAATTAGACCATCGTAGTGTACTCGAACTTTCGTGTGCGCTATAGTAACATCTTTCCTCCATCTATGCAGTATGTACCTCTCTGGCATCCATGTCACATCATTAAGGCTCAGAATTACTAGTGCATGCCTACACACCATTCCACGAAACTCAAACAAGTGGCAGCTGCAAATGATTTCACATTTCTCTTTCTCAAATGACACCAAGAATTTTTTTCCTCCAACAACCATCAGTTACACGGACTTCCTCTACCTCATAATGCTCAACAAACATTCATCAGATCTAGATATGATATCACTATAAACCTTTCCCGTAAACTCGTCTTGGGCCTCCCTGAACTTGGAATGTGTTAATTAACTGAAATTGCTGTTCCATTTCAAATTGCGTTGCACGAGGTACCATTTGTGAGAACGACCTAAAATCGGTCTGGAACTCCTTCTCAACCTTACTCCTTAGGGCACACTCATACTGTTCCACAAACTGCTTAAAAGATGTCTTTAAATACAGATATCCATAAAAAATGCATTCATACTCACTTCTTTATGTCGTCGACATACCAGCTCAAAAATAAGTTTTGAAATAGCACGGAACCCAACGAGCTCTGTTATCATACAATCCCGATAACCAATCATTATCTTGTAAGGCATAGATGTCAATCACTGCTTTCCAACCACCTTCAAATTCTTGAACAAACTGTGATTTACACACCAATTCATGTATAGCCCCCAAATATTGAAGCCTTATCCACGTGGTAGCCAAATTTCTTTGGCAACTTTTTTAAAATATGCCACAAGCACCTCTGTGCTTCGTATTTGGAAAAACAATTTGAATTGCATTTTTGCATGGCTCAATCTTGATCCTTAATTATCCCTTGTGGAGCTTGACCTTGCATGTACAAACAAAAGTATTTGTATCTTCATTTGATAGCAAACCACAACCAAGTAATATCGACTGCCCATGATGATTGACGCCAACAAATGGAGCGAAAGGCATGTCGTAGTTATTAGTCTGATAAGTAGTATCGAACGTAATGACATCGCTGAACTCCTTATATGATTGTCTACAATGATTATCTGCCCAGAAAACATTTTTCAATCAT